CGAGTTTCATAGCATAGCAGTGTTTTCTGACGCTAAGCGGTGATGAATATCTCTTTAGCATTTATAAAGAGGTCTGCTGGGACCATTAGCAGGATTTTGACCAAGCTTTAGCGCTTCTTGTGCCGCATTGTATTCTTTCCCCTCAAATGTGCATTGCCTCCTACATACCCAAGATGCAAGGAATCATTTCTGTGACCTGGCTCCTTCCCACCCCTCTGTCTGTCACTACAGCCTTTTATAAAGTCTGGGAGATCGATAGGTAAAGAAGCGATGTGAGTTACTGCCAGATTGACCCGTTTGGGAAGCGATTAGTCATAACTGGGGGAAAGTTAAGAAGAGTTAGGGTTAGGTAAAGGTTTCCCTTGCTCGAAAGCCAGTCGAGTCCGACTCTAGGGTTGCGGTGCTCATCTCTGTTTCAAAGCCGAAGAGCCAGCGCTGTCCGAAGACGTTTCCGTGGTCATGTGGCCGGCATGACTAAACACCAAGGCGCACGGAACGCTGTTACCTTCCCACCGAAGTGGTACCTATTTATCTACTTGCAATTTCTTGCTTTCAAACTGCTAGGTTGGCAGGAGCTGGAACTAGAGTTGGGAGCTCACTCCATCATGCGGCACCCGGGTCTTGAACTGCTGAACTACCGACCTTCCACAACAATGTGCTGGTGATCCCTGGCCCTAAAGATATCTGGCTGTCATCGACTAAACACCAAGGCGCACGGAACGCTGTTACCTTCCCACCGAAGTGGTACCTATTTATCTACTTGCAATTTCTTGCTTTCAAACTGCTAGGTTGGCAGGAGCTGGAACTAGAGTTGGGAGCTCACTCCATCATGCGGCACCCGGGTCTTGAACTGCTGAACTACCGACCTTCCACAGCCTGCAGTTCAGCGTCTTAACCACTTGAGCCACCGCAGCAGTTAGGGTTACGGTTATTTTAATAAAGTATGTGTGTGTGTGTGCGCGTGCACACACACACACACATATTAAAAACAGCTCTTAATTCATGTGCTGGTTTCTTTGTATGCAATATTGTATGCAACATTGGCCTACTAGTACATCTTCCATCTGGCTAACAGGTCAAGGGCATGCAAATATCTTATACACAGCAGCAATCATGGGGATTTAAAAACTCTTTAAGAAGATGCTGGGGCTATGTCTAAACCAACCAACATTCTTTTGTTCATGATCAGCAGAAAAGCCTTGTACGCGTGCAGCTCCATCGCAAATGCAAGAGAGAACCTCACAATTCCCAGCTGCGAACCAAAGAAGATGGCCAGACTCAGTTGTTGCTCGATGCTGCAGATTGCCTTCCACGTGGCTAAATGGTTAGTACTTGGATGGGAGCCCACCAAAGAAGTTGAGGGTCCCTACACAGAGGCAGGCAATGGCAAACCACTTCTGTTCATCTTTTGCACTGAAAACTCTACGGTCACCATAAGTCGGCTGCAACTTGTTGGCAAAAAAATTAAAAGATTCAAATCCCCACCCTAACATGAAAGTAATGGGGTGATCTTAAGGCAATTGTTCTCTCTTGGCTTAACCTACTTCACAGGGTTGCTGTGTGGATCAAATGGAGGGGAGGGGCCATGTATACCACCCTGAGATCCTAGGAAGATGAGTGTGATCAAAACAGACAAAATAGACAAATTGGAATGCTTAGAATAAGATCTTGCCCAAATGAATTGAAATGTGCAGATCATCAATACTGCAACCACTGTATATTTCACGTTAACTTTCCAACAGTTTGGTCTATAAAATTAACTTGCATTTCTTTCCCCGTACTGAAGAAAAAAATCCCACCTTCCCAGAGACTTTCATATATTTACAATGCAAAGCTTAGAAAGGGCCAGCACCAGTTCTGGTTATTCAGTGGATTGAATTTTACATCCCCCCCCCCCAATATAGTGCTATTAAAATTGAAGCTGCCATAAATAAATTTAAGCCCACCTCAGTTCCGTGCTACTATGCCATATACCCTAAAAATACATTTAGGGGATCAAATGGTATTACTACACCTAAAGGGTTGAATCCAGCTTGCCTTTTAATGCGATCTTGCACAGTTCCCCTCCTTACCACAGCCCACCTCCTCCCACATGGCTTTTGGGCATGCAGCTCCCATGATCCCCAGTGCAGCCTTTTTGGTGGTCAAACAGGACTTCTTTCTTTCTTCCCCAGCAGAAGAACAAAGGACCTGGCTAGCTCCAACCTGCTGTTTCCATGATGCCTCAGAATTCATCTCCCATATTCCAAAAGCAGAAATCAAGCCGCCAAATGCATTTGTTCAACTTCTCTGCTTTGATACTTCTGCCACACAAACAAGCTAGGGAGACCTCAGGGTAAATCTTTTGCATCCTCTGTGGTGTAAGGGGAATCCAGTTAATGCTGTTCTCCTTCTTGTATGGCAAACCAAACCACAGTCAGCTTCGGAGCCCATCCATACCTCTGCTCTGTGAAGCAAAAGGCAGCCAGTTTGGCCCTCTGGGCTGCATCTGGAATTGCCCAACAAAGAGCTCTAAACAAGGAGTAAATAATCAGCTGTTCCAGGATTCAGATCCTATTACTTGGCATTTAAAGCACACCACTGGGGTACTGTTTCAGTATCTTTCCAAGACGGGCAGGGGACAGAGAGAAGAGGGAGAATTCTATATTGCAGGGGTGCAAAACGTACCACCAAGGGATCACATGCAGCCCACCAATCTGGTCCAGCCCTGCTACCAATCTGGTGGGTCAGCAGGCATTGCTGGGCTGTGTGCCCACTATTGGCTATGCCTCTGAGCAAGGGCCAGCTCAGAATCTTGGGGTAGCTCAATGCCAATGAAGCAATGCTCAAAGAAGCACCAACATCTGGAATCTCCCCCCCCAAAAAAATGCTAACAACAAACCAAGTGGAGGTCTACCTTCTTTGCACAACCCCAGGGCAAACTGAGGCTGTGTTAACCTGCAATTCACAATGGAGCTATGAAATGAGATTGTGACATTCATATTTGAGCTAAACCCACCCCCCACCCCACCCAGCAACGCGAACCCTGAGATTCATACGGTGACCTAATGATGTCATGGTGCAGGACCTTGTGATGTCATACTTTCACAATATGGGCCACTTATTTCCAGTCAAGGTCAGTTCTGGTCCACATAACTGGGTAGCTGCTTGATTGAAAAGGGTTAAGGGAAGATATCTCAACCAGGTAGATCTGGAGTAGCTCCAGATCTGCTCCTTTACCTTACCTTTAATAATGGTTAATTCGCCAGCAATATGTAATCTGTGCCAGAGAAGGCTTATTTTATTTTATTGGCAGAGGTAATAATAATAATAATAATAATAATAATAATAATAATAATAATAATACTTTCAATTTATTGATCGCTTTTCCCCATCCATGCAGGCTCAGAGCGATTTACAGTTACTCAGAGACAATGGACTAACAATATATTCGTGGGGGATAGGGAAGACAACATACAATATTTAATCACACACATATTGTAGCTGTACTTTAGAAACAACCTCTTTTAAGTCCTTCGGGAAATGATTCTGCACCAAGGAAATATTTATTATATAGGCAATGAGAGCTCATATTCCCCCTCCCCCAAGATTTGACCAGCCATTAAGGGCAAGGGTGAAATTCACAGGTGGTAGTTTTTAACACCCAAGACCCTACTAGTATCAGTCACTGAAAACTCACAGGCGAATGCCGCAGACTCTCTGACTCCAAGAGCTACAATCAGCGGTATTGAGCGTGAAAGCAGTTTTTGGTCTATGGAGGCCCCATGTTTGTTTGTAAAAGCTAAGCCAGCTGTGATTAACCTCTTGGTGGTGGAAGTACCATCATCTTGCAGCCAACCTATGGCAACCCCTCATGGGGTTTTTGGGGAGAGGGAGAGGGGGAGAGAGAGAGAGGGAGGAAACTGAGATAAACATACAGGCTTTGGGGACCTGTTTTGCTGTTGTCTGTATGCACTACAATTTGAAATTAGTCCTCCCAAGCTGTTGACTTAAGTGCCTTGTATGATCTATGAACATTCTGATAGAGGAGGAGTTTGAAACTGCCAGCCCCATCTGGGTCTGGCCCTTATGGGCTATGTGGTTCGCAGAGAAGGAAGGGGGTCAGTAGGGAAGGGAGTGTGCAGAAGTGCCGGCCACATAGCCATGGAAACGTCTTTGGACAGCGCTGGCTCTTCGGCTTGGAAATGGTGATGAGCACCACCCCCTAGAGTCGGATTCGACTAGCTTTTGAGCAAGGGAAACCTTTACCTTTTTACCATCAAGTCACAACTGACTTATGGTGATCCCAGTAAGGGGCTTTCAAGGCAAGTAAGAAGCAGAGGTGGTTTGCCACTGCCTTCCTCTGCAGAGTCTTCTTTGGTGGTTTCCCATCCAAGTACCGACATCACTTAGCTTCTGCGATTTGATGAGCTTGGGCTATACCATTCTGCCTCCCCTTCCGTGGAAGTGTCACCCAGCGGAAATAGGGAGCCCTCCCAAAGAAGGTCAGATGAATTATCCCACAGCTGGAAACGAACACAAATCTCTACCTAGGGAGGTCTTTTTCAATATTTTCACCTAATGGGGGGGGGGGGGGGGAGGGATGCTTGCAATGTTGTTCACATAGAAACTCTCCCTTGTGTATACCCACTGCAATGTGTTGTGCACAATAATCTGTACCATGACATTTAATAAGAATCACGATGCCGTGGGAGAAAGGTGTTCTTCCTTCGTCTATAGGGCAAGATGAGTGAGTGTGGGTGACACAGGAATGCTGAGGAAGGGAGGGGGGGAATCCGGGCTTCTCAGAACTTGTAAATGAACCAGCATTCTTGTGCAAAGCAAGAAAAGAGCCAGCCTTGTATAGCAAGATGGAGAGTCAGTGAGCTGGGTTGAAAAAGCCAAAAGCGTTTAGTTCTGCCACAAAAAGATGCAGAGGAGGATAAAGCTAGAAACAAGAGTGAGCTTTCAACCAGGTTTGTAGCACACTCCCCAACCAAGCAGAAAGACTTCGTACTTACATCCAATGCAATCGTTTCAATACTGTATGCCTTCGGTAATGGTTGGCCGGGTGGCTGCCAAGTAAGCACATCTGGATTCAGTTAGTTCTGGCATTCCTCAGCCTCTGAACATATAGCCCAGGGAAGCCTTGCAGAGTTAAATAACCGTGGCTCCCCTTTTTGTTCTAGAGAGCATTCAGAAGGGGCAGCCGTGCACCCCTTCCGCGCGCAGGATCACAGGCAAATGTGGCTTATTTCTTGTGTCCAGAAACTTGCTGGTGGGGGTAGGAGGCTGGAGGAAATTTAAAAAACCCTGTCTGAATTAAGAAAAGGAACTCAACCGGACTCCAAGAGCTAGTCACATGACCTGTGCAGATGTTTCAGTCCAAGAGTTGGAACAGTCACGGCGTACACGTGATACAGATGTTCGGCAGCACAAAGGGGGCCGGCTTAAGAATGCATGTGCTTGGGAGGGTGCATTTCCATGTGTGCGCACATATGCAAAAAAAAAGAGAGAGAGAGAGCTTGAAATTTGGAAGCAGCATCCCTGGCTCCCCTTTTTAAAAAATGCACACATAAAATTAGCTGCTTGTAAAACACCAAAGGAATTGCATTTTTAAAACTTAGGAAGAATTATAAAACAGTTTGCACTTCTAGCGGGACTCCAGACTGATCTCTCTCTCTCTCTAACACAAACACACACACACTTGCCTTTAAAAAAAAAAAAAAATCTGTCCCCTTAAGTGTTTTAGTCCCAGGCCAAGTAGCACATCAGTTTGAAAACTGAGAACTGAAGTGTCTGCATTGTAAGATATATCTGACCTTCATTAATGATGATGGGAGGTGTTGTGGCTCTGGTAAACCAGCTGCTTCCAGGTTCAATCCTGGCATTGCCAGGATCCGGTTGTAGGTGATGTGAAAGCCCTCTGCCTGAGACTCTGGAGAGCCACTGCCAGTCTGAGTAGACAGTACTGACTTTGATGGACCAAGGGATGCCAGCTCCCGAATGGAACCCGGGGGATCCCCTGGAATTACAGCTCATCTCCAAATGACAGAGATCAGTTCCCCTGGTGAAAATGGCTGCTTTGGAGGGTGGACTCTATGTGCCCCACTGAGGTCTCTGTCCTCCCCAGGCACCATCCCCCACATTTCTAGGAGCTTCCTAACCTGGCCACCCTAGATAGACCAATCGTCTAATACATTTATAAGGCAGCTTCATGTGTTCATGATTTCAATGATAATTTGTCTTGTATCAATAATCAAAACAGAGTGTGCTCCTCAGATCAGCACCAACAAAAGGCAGGGCCCTTGCCCCTACAAACCTGGCAGCTCAGATTTAGACACGGCAACAAAAGATTTGGGAACCGGTCTCCCACTGTATTTTCAACTCTATATCTCAGCTGTGGAGGCTGGATTCCGGAGCACGCCCAGGGGTCCAGAGTGGTTTGCTGTTGGAAGAAGGGCTGCTGAAGATAACGAGGCTATTTGGGATGAATTCAAGAGGATGAGCCATAAGAAGGGAGGGCAGGAGGGGTCTGGATGAGCTCCCACAACAGCAGTCAGCCCCTGCACGGGAGCTGGCACTGGGTGAGTTGCATTTACACAGTGCAAACTGTACGTACACAGTTTGGTGTAGTGGTTGAGAGCGGTGGACTCTAATCCGGAGAACTGGGTTTGATTCCCCACTCCTCCACATGCAGCCAGTTGGGTGACCTGGGGTCAGTCACAGTTCTCAGGGCTGTTCTGTCAAGAGCAGTTCTCTCAGAGCTCCCTCGGCCCCATTTACCTCACAGGGTGTCTGTGGTGGAGAGAGGAAGGGAAGGAGATTGTAAGCTGCTCTGAGACTCCGAGTGAAGTGTGGGGTATAAAGCCAACTCTTATTTTACTTCATTTCTGCCCCCCCTTTTCTGTTGGAAGGGTACTGGTTCTGGTGGTCCAGATCCTTCTTGGTTAGCAGAGTGCACAAGGCTGTAATGCAGCAGTGCTTTTATTAGACCTGAACAAGTGCTTGCAAAGTTACAAAGGTTACAAAGAGCCACTGTTTCAAGTCGAAAGAAAACAATATCTACTTTATTCCAGAAATACATGCTTGGGTAGAGAAGCAGAGACAGTTCCTATGCCATCTAGCTAACAGATGGGAGTGGATGCAGAAAGGAGTGTTCATCTGCACTTCAAAGGGACAGAAGGGAGTAAACAGAAGGATGCTTAGTGTTTGCCTATCTGCTTGCAACTCTCTGTGGTCACACGTCTTCTGGAGGCTGAGACACTGGGACATCGCATCTGGTACTTCCAACATTTTCTCCTCGGCGGGGACCCAAAGTAGCTTACAACATTCTCCCCTTCTCCATTTTATGCTCACAATGACCCCGTGAGGTCGGCTGAGAGCACGTGACTGGACCAAGGCCCCCCAGCAAATTCCATGGTAAAGTGGGGATTCGAACTTGGAGTCTCCCAGATCCCAAACACTAACTGCTAAGCCAGGCTGGCTTTTGATTGCAAGTCTGGTAATGATGTGTACATTTGTAATGTGAATGCAAATTAGCCTGTGTAAATGTGGATCCTCTTTTTGGTTGTCCGTAGAGGACCACCTTTCCCAGGCCAGGTTGGGGAGAGAGGACTCTGTACTTGTGTGGATGGTTTTCCTTTTCATGAAGCTTATGGTTGTGGTTTAGAAATGCAACCCCTGGGATTGGAAGAGGAAGGCTGACAGTGGGGCTATTTCATCTGTCCCCCTCATCTCATTTTCCCACTGTAAAATCACCACCAGCAGCTGCTTTCCCCCTTGCTGGGGAAAACACGGGTGTGGCACTCTTTCTGCAGAAAAATGAGGACGGGGAACTGGTGAATCAGTCACCCTCTCTCCACTCCCCCCCCCTTCTGACTTGAAACCCAGCAGCTGTCCTTGGTAAACAGAACCATCTGAAGAAAAGCACTGCAGATGCAAAGGACTGGCCCTGAGGGAGCAGGCGTTCAGCTCCTGTCAGAGATCCAGGATCCTCAAGGGAACCGGTTTGCTTGGGAAAGTGGAGAATAGACTGGATCCCCAAATTCATTTTATTTAGAGCTTTAAACCCTGCCTTTTGCCCTAGTTAGGGCCTAAAGCAGCCTACAACATTCCCTTCTCTCTTCCGTTTTATCCTCACAACCACAGCCCTGTGAAGTAGCTTAGGCTAAGAGAGGGTGGCTGGCCCAAAGTCTCCCACCAGAGTGCTTACATGGCCAAGTGGGGATTTAAACCTGGTCTTAATCTGACACTCTGACCTCTCATGCCACACCCCCTCTCCCTGAATGTTGATAAGAGCTGAGAGAGTTTACGTATGAGGGAAGCCAAGGAGACAGTCCTGAGAATAACAGTGTGGGAAAGGGACGGGTTGAGGGCGGGGCGGGACAGCCATCTTGCATGTCAGTCATTGAATCCCAGCGTACCCTAGTGGTGAAATGAAAGCAGAAGGGGCTGATGGGGGGGGAGGATTGTCTAGGGGCTGATGGGGGGGGTTGTGTAGGTGCAAATATTAAGTTACCTTTGTTACTAATCTATTAGAGGGCAACCTCATTCTGTTCCTGACTTAAGCACATGAAACCTCAGGGATTTTTTTGTGGGTGGAATTGGTGGAAATCAGCCCAACATTTTACACACACACACCAGCACCTGTTTCTTCAACAAACAAAAAACAAAGGCACTGTGAAAACTGATAAAGGGCCACATTGTATGTTCTATACAACGATACAGGAAAATATGAAGGGTAAATGTTGATAAATAGCACACTGATGCAGCAGCATTTAATGTGTGAGTGAAGGTTGGGAAATGGCACCGAGCAGTTCTGCACATAGCCCCATGATCTGTACATCATCCAAGATGCCAATTGTACCTCATGGCCAAATCCCAAGATGGCAGCCTGTGGCCATTGACACAGCAATGTTTACCCTCTACTGGTTACCACATGTGTGCATGCAAAGGTCTCAGATTTGGTCCCTGGCGCCTACAGTTCGGCATCTTGGGCAACAGGTGCCGGGGCAGTAGGGAAGGAAGAACTATTCTGGAGCAAGCCAAGTGGACTGGGCCCTGCAGAGCCACGAGCCGATGATGCAAAGTTCAGCAGTGGCTCAGCTAGGGCTTCCTCTTAACAAACTGGCAGCACTTTGGGAGGCGTTAAATGCCAAACTGATACCGATTCTCACTGCCACTGAAGGGTTGAAGACACACGGACCCATAGGTGCTGGCAAAGTTCCTGGGGCTTGCTTCCTGTCTTCAAGCTGACCTCTAGAGGAGTGGCCCACCAGGAAATTTCCTTGTCAGTCGACTGGTCAGCCCACTGCTGCTGTCAAAAGACCCTAGAGTGCTTGTGCCAGTCATAGGCAGACAAATCCTCTAACTCAGTGTAAAGCAGTCCCCTGTGGTCCAGGTGTTTAGGCCCCCTTTCTTTGCATAATAATTTTATCCACGTCTGCAAATGCTTTGGCTCAGCTTTGCCAAAACATGCCCCTGGGATACCAGCTCAGGTCCCTTCCTTCTTCCCATGGCCAGTCCAAGACAGAGAATGTTCCCAGCTTTTAAGCTCGGCAGAAGTATTAAAAACAATCCACCTCCTGCAACAAAACTCCCTTTTGAACTCTTGCTGTTCAGTTCCCAAGAGGTATTCCCAGAACACACAAGCATTTGTTCCTTTTGAAACACAAAGCAGTTTTATTTGATTTTTGCCTTATCTTGGGGTGTTTAAAAAGAACAGCATGTTTGGAACTTGGTGATACAAAACAAAAATATCTCTGCCAATACATATGGCGGTTAGACAAAGCAAAATTCAAGAAGGATCCAAGTGAACGGCTTACAAGGAAATACTGATGCTTTCCTTTATAATTTTGGCACTTTTAAAGCAAATGTAAAACGCAACACTGCATTTCAAAGATGACAGTATACAGAAATAAAGAATGCGGCATATGAAAGAGCTGCCTCCTCTCATTACTTTTGCAAATCACTGTCCACTTCTCCTGTTGCAAAAGCAAAGCCAAAGGCTGCTTTCCGCAGCTGCCCTTCCGCTCACACCCCTCCTCTTCCACTGTGGAGGTGTTCCTCTGCTGTGCTGCATTCTTCTTGCCCACCCTACACTCGGTTTGTCAACTCGAGTTAGGAAAGTCATGGAGATTTGGAGGTGGAGCCTGGTGAGGGCGGGGTTGGGAGAAGGGCGGGAACTCAGTCCGAGTCCACCCTCCAAAGCAGCCATGTTCTCCAGGGGAGCCGATCTTTGTACCACAGAGATCAGTTGTAATTCCTGGAAATCTCCAAGCCAACACTACCCTAGACACTGTTCAGCTCTCCAAACACCCTTGGAGGAGCATGCATTTTTGCACTGGAGGACTGGCTGCCCCAGCAGTGGAAAAGGGTGTTTGCAAAGGTAGAAAGACGGCTTGGGACTGAAAGCTCATTTTCATGGTGCTCATTAGGAAACCAAAAGAAATTCCATCGGAAACGGCAGAATTCTTTGGTCAGCGATGCCATTCCATTAAGAGAGTGAGGCAGGGAAACTCTGTTATTGACAATTTAGAGTGGAGTTTCCTGCAATTCACCAGACCTACAGGTATCTGCTTGTCTTGTGACTACAGACCTGAATAGGGTACCATCGGTGGGGTGGATCCAACCGTCCTCCAAGTACCCTTCATCCAATTTAACTGGCCCTTCCTCCACTGAAGAGTCACTTGTGTTGGAGGTAGGCTCCTTTGGCTGGAGCAAAGCTTTACACTTTGCTTGGGGAAATAGTAAGCTGCATCCCAGCATCTTTTCAACAATGGTGTCCACAAATTAAGATTACCAGTGTGATGCTAAGAAAAGTAACAGTCTTCTAAGGTTGTGGACTTCCATTGCTTAGGATTGCACTATACTTGCTTCATCCCTGCACATCTGACATGGAATACTGTTGCATGGGGTACATGTGGTGCTTATGCATGCCCAATGTGGATTGACACGGCAAATGGTGCAAGGACTGCATGGCCAATCCAAGACCAAAAATGTAGTTGATTAAGAGCTGACACCGACTTGCTGTTCCATGAACCTGTTAACTGCATAGCAATGACGCAGTATGTCTGGGAAATCGTAGGTAACTTTTATTCAAATCGATGAACATTTGAAGAGTGGAGCTGAAAAATCACCCAGAGCTGAAATAAACTTTGAGGGAAAAATTTGCAATTACAATTTTTTTTAAAAAATCACAATTTTGATTTGGACACTATTGCTGCACTCAGACAACCGAGTGACCTATGGCATGTTGGATACCACACGACTGTTGCAAAATAGGAATAATTCATAACTGGATTTTACTGCATGAATCGACCAATCCTGTTGAGCCTGACTACAATATCCAATGGCGTGTGGCTGCAGTCAAACTCTGGTTAGCCTAAGGAATGTCAATCGGTTTGTTCATTCTTGCCTTCCCTCCGCCCGCCCGCCCCCCACCAGAGAAAACATCCTCTGTACACTGTAATCTCTGTGGGCAGCCAGCCATAAGGGGCTACACTAGTCCACAAACCGTGGTTCATGAATTCAGATTTCATTAACAAACCACAGTGTGTATGAAGTGCAGTTCACAAACCAGCCTTGTTTGAAACCACTGATTTATTTCAAAATATTTGTATCCTGCCTTATCTCCTGAGACTCAAGACTGCTAACAAAGCAACAAGAGTTACACAGACATGAAACCAGCACAGATAGGCCACCTCTGCCTCGTAGAGGGTACCCACCAGGAGAAGGCTGTCTGAAGAGCAAAACTTGCACATTCCAGTTTGAGGCCAACCAATAAACCCTGGTTTTGTCATGACATCTGAATTCAGCCTGATTTTTTTTCCTTTTCAGTGTGGCTTTCAGATGTTAGTAGTTAAATGCCAGTAACAATGCACGCATGCAAGTTAAAACCGTCTGCCGCACAAGGGTGTATAAAAGCAGAGCCCTAAAACAAACCACCTAGAAATGGCTCACTCTAGATGGCAAAAAGGAGCACCAGAAATGCCAAAAGGGAGATGAGTCAAGCAGATGGCTAAGATTGGGTGCACTTTTCTGAGTACTCTTATTGGGTACTAGCTAGACGTTCCGCTCCCTTTAAAAACAGAAAAGAAACCAAACTTTTAAAAAGGTGATAGTGCTAATATATGACCATCTATTCCATCTTCTGTTCCAGTGAAATAAACACTGCCATCACTGCCACTGCACCCCTGTGGAGGGTCATGCCGATCTCAGCCACGATACAAATTGTATTTTCATTTTTCACGCTTCCACTCTCCAAAAATACATGGCATCAAATGGCTTTTGTCTAGGAGTTGAGAAAGCTCTTCCAAAACACTGAACTGCTGCTGCCAACATCAGTAGAAACTGAGCCGAGTCTTAAGGTGCTAATAATAAATTCCAGTCTGAAACTTGGAGAAGTTTCAGTTGCGTGAAATGAACAAATAATGACATTCCTGTCCCAAATAACCTCTGCCCCTGCTTTATCTGCCAGCTTAAAAATGACATCAGTGTGTGCACAAAGCTGTTTCAAGGCTGAACTCTCCAATTCATTAAGGATGGCTGTAACGATTCCTTGTTTGTGTGTGTGTGTGTCTCTTTAAAAGTTTGGTTGCATGGCTGTGGTAGAGTGGTTGAGAGAGGCCAGTGTGGTATGATTGGTGGTTGAAAGAGAAGGGGAGGGGTTTTGGAAGTGAATCTGGTTGGATGAGTATGTGAGTCAGTAGTTTCAGTTACAGGTTGACAGTTGATGAAGTTAGTTCTGTGTTGAAGTAGCTAAAAGTGGACAGCTGCGGTTGTTCAGTGCAAAAGAGAAAGAGAGCTGAAAGGTGAATGTATAGGAAAAAGTAAAGTAAAGTTTAAGTGAAGTAAAGTTATAGGAAAGTCTGAGTGTCATAACAGACTGGAGTGAAACAGTGAACATATATGGCATTGAGATAAACAAGTGTTACAAAGTTACATGACAAGATCCCTGTCAGTGAGGGAAAAGATTGAGTGTGATACCAAAGAAATTGTACATCATTTACACATTACTAGTTACATTGTATCACCCTCTTATTTAGTATTTATTTCAATAAATCCTCTTTTATTTAAGTTTATACCAGCTCTGAATGAAATACTTCTCAGGACCACATAGTTCCTCGTAAGCCTTGAACTCGGTCTACCAAACTAAAAAGAGCAACAGTAGAAGCATAAAGGTTTGGAAATCCTTAAAATTTCCTGGTGGCAGCAGAATCTGCCCAGTTAAACAAAACAAAGAACACTTTTAAAGTGAAACTAGTCCTCCCCAATAAGGAGGACGTCACACTGGCAGATTTTTTTTAAAAGAGGAATCACCTGCAGTATTTGAAGTTGTTAAATTTAAACCTGAATCTAAATTTAATCCACATACCATTAATCCCAATGTATTATTATTTGAGGACTCGGTCCTGGAAGAAATACAAGAAATACAAGCAGCTACTGTACTCTCCCAGTGTGCCACAACTGTAATAAATTGGGAAGTGCATTCTCCAATACTGAGCCGATGGGTACACAGTGAGAAATACTGGAGTTTATAGAATCTCGGAGGCTTGGGGGCAATTTCCAAATCATCTCCCCCCGCAAATGATTCTTTACAGCCCCCCCCCCAATTGTGAAATACAAAAAGTAAAGCTATGGTTCACCATTCCAGCATCCAGAAAAGGATTCTAAGGCATGGAGGAGCTGGGGAGAGCCAGCACCGACAAGCCCAGAGATCTGCTAAGCCAGCCATGTGGTCGACTTGGTGGTGGTGGGTGGGGGGGGGGGGGGAGGGAGAGTCTTTCCCATTTGTGCTACAGACAGAGGAAGAGGAAGCTGAGAGGGGGAAAAGGTAATTTAACAAAAAACCTGACTGCTTCCTCCAAGCTGTGGGGAAACCAAACTGGAGAGGACTCGGGGAGAGAGAGATGAATTATTGCTGCTCCTTGGTGCTGAAAAAGTACATGGCTTACTCCCGAATGCAAAAAAGGGATAGATCCCAGACAGGGTTCCAGGTTTTGAAAGGCCCTGGAAAGTTCCCAGGGCATCCCTCCCCTCTTCTACCCCCCCACACCCTCCTTCCCTTCCCATCACCTGCATGTCTCCCACCTGTCTGCTTGTGAGCTCTCCCACCGCCCAGGCTCACTACTGCCTGCAGCCCTTTTCCCAGGGGCCCAGGGCAACGCACACACCTGGGCACACAATGGGGAGCTAGAAATGTGAGTGTGCGTGGGGGGGGTCAACAGCTGTTGGGCCCTGGCAGCTGCCCCACCACAGGGGATGCTGACGCCAGCCCTGATCCCAGAGGTTAGTAAGATACTCCCGCGTAACTCCGTAAGACACACAAAATGCTGCTGGACTGTTCACACGAAGAGCACCAAAGGCTAGTTCACACAGGCCTTTTCACTTCCAGCAAGGGGTGCGCATATAAAAGAGCCATCTTGGAATATTTTTTTTTTTAAAAAGGGAAGAAACCTTGCTGGGAACTTGTCTACCACCACAAATGTAACACTTTCCCAGTGGAACTGGTTCACACATTCAGTGGTCAGTCATTTTAAGGCACGTAGGTTTATTTGATCCTCCGGTGGCTGTTCCAATGGAGTCGTTTCACACGTTTGGTGGTCCATTAGTTTTAAGGCATGTAGGTTACTCGGTCCTCCGGTGGACTGATGCATCCAACTCAGCCATTTCACAAACATGGCTGTGAATGTGTTGTGCTTTCTTGAGTCACCTCCAGGTAAGATTCATGGGTGATCCATTGATGGCTCATTTGTATGGACACATACAAGACAGGGAAGGAGCTGTGGTTCAGTGGAAGAGCCTCTGCTTGCACGCAGAAGTCCCAGGTTCAATTCTTAGCATCTCCAGATGAAAGAATCATGTCTCATTCATTATAAGGCAACTTCACGACACACAAAATGCTGCTGGACTGTTCACACAAAGAGCACCAAAGGCTAGTTCACACGGGCCTTTTCATTTCCAGCAAGGGGTGCACATATAAAAGAGCCATCTTGGATTTTTTTTTTTAAAGGAAGAAACCTTGCTGGGAACTTGTCTACCACCACAAATGTAACACTTTCCCAGTGGAACTGGTTCACACATTCAGTGGTCAGTCATTTTAAGGCACGTAGGTTTATTTGATCCTCCGGTGGCTGTTCCAATGGAGTCGTTTCACACGTTTGGTGGTCCATTAGTTTTAAGGCATGTAGGTTACTCGGTCCTCCGGTGGACTGATGCATCCAACTCAGCCATTTCACAAACATGGCTGTGAATGTGTTGTGCTTTCTTGAGTCACCTCCAGGTAAGATTCATGGGTGATCCATTGATGGCTCATTTGTATGGACACATACAAGACAGGGAAGGAGCTGTGGTTCAGTGGAAGAGCCTCTGCTTGCACGCAGAAGTCCCAGGTTCAATTCTTGGCATCTCCAGATGAAAGAATCCTGTCTCATTCATTATAAGGCAACTTCACGTGCATTAATGCAACGGTCAACAAGTTGGGGGGGCGCATGTGCAACCTGGCCGTTGCTAAGCAGAACCAGCCCCAGTTACAGATACAGTCACTCAACGTAGCCTCTATCCCAGCACCCACCAGTTTGTGCTTACACATTCAAGCTTGGGAATATTTTGGTTCTTATGCTGCGAGGCACTCCAAAACAGTGAAGATCTGATTGGACCACTTTCCTTGGGAGCCTATTGGAAGACGGGATTTTTTTGAAAATATCCATAGTGCAGCACTGAAACATTCAGCGGTCTTCGGGTGTAAATCAGCATTTTCAGTGGCTTCTTTTGACAGGGAGCCACCAGTGGCAGATACCACAGCTGTGGGTAAAGGGGCTGGCAATGAATTACTAAGGTGCAGTCAAGAAAGTTGTAAACTCACAAGAGTGTTCAAAGTAACGGCCCTTTAGCCCTTTTGTCCATTTCCTACACTGCCATCTCGTTTGGGTGAATTCCTAGCAGCTCCTCGGCTAAGCTTATGAGGCCATTCTCCTCCAGAGCAGTGACCAGTCTCTGAATGGTGGCTTTCTTGCCCTCGGAGTCAATAAACTTGCGGAGCATCTGGTAGGCTTGCTCGTAAAGGCCTTCCCGCTCGTACTCCATGGCTAGGTTGTCGATGGTGGGATCCCGAAGGGCTCGGCAGCTGGCCTGCAGAGACCGGCCCACTTGCTTCCATTTCTTTGAGACGAGTTTGGCAAACTTCTGATGGTCATCTAGGGTGATTTTTCTGTTGGCTTGAAAAGATAATGGGTGGGGGGGAAACACTAACTCATCGTAACAAACCAGGCACACATTTCTTAAAGGACATGTCTACTGTTCTCTTGCGTGTATGATTGTGTCACCAGCCCTTGTTGGGGTTTGTCTGCACCAAGGGTTGCCAGTATTACCTCAGCAAATGGTGGGAGATTTTGAAAGCCAGTGTCTGGGGAGAGTGGATTTTGGAGAGGATGTGACATCGCTTCCAGGTGACATTCTAGGAATTTCTACTACTCTCTATGGTAAAGACATAGAGACATATGGAGATTCCTAGAGTGTCACTGTAGAGGCCATTTTTCAGCCTTTCCCCCCTCCTGCTCTCAATTTCTCAAGGGCAGGGGAAGGGGTCTGAGGGCAAAGGTTTATCTACCGTTACCTGCAGCAGCTGCTACTGCATCAGAGTAGCCCAAGATTAGCTTTGCAGATGGGAATCTGGAATGTGCAGTTCCTCACACTGGGTTTTTGTGATCTTGCTTTCTTTCAGATGTCCCAACGCACATCTTACTTGCCTGAAATTGCACACTAAAAGGGACACAATGGCTGTCCCTCTAAGGCCCCTTACTTAACCAATTGTCATTTCCATGTACAACATTTCCTAGGGCAATGGTCTTCAGGCTTTCCAGACCTTTACATCCAGGCCACTGAGCTGCAAACACGTGACAGGAAATCATGTAGCAGGAAAAGAAGTCAGTCTCTCTGAACTTGCCTGTGTTCTCCCCTGCTGACCGACCTCATCGTGCTGCTCATTTTAGCATGGTGTTGTGCTCTTATTCTCTATGCAAGGGCACTAGCAGCAGATCCTTCCAAAAAGCAACAACTTTCCCCCTCACCTGATGATTCTACACAGGCCCGCAACCCAGCAGGTGTTCCTTGACCCACCTGACAGTCCCAACCCAAGGGCTGAACACCCCCATTCTAGGGGATATCCAATCTGAGGCTCTAATTCACAGCTGCATTGGAACACCTCTACAATACCAGTGGGGGATCTTAGCCAAGCTTGGGAACACTTGTGGTCAAAGGAACCAGGGCTTGCAAAGTCTGAAACAGGCCACCCTCAGGAACTGTGAGTTTTCTTCCTTGCTGACATTCATGGAACTTTGTTTCCTTTGTACGTTGTAACTCATGGGGAAAGAGCTGCCAAGCTGACTACAGATTCTGGTACACTGACATGAGATGTGTTCACGTGCCGAACAGCTGGAAGTGCACTAGCACTTCTCTTTATATGTGAACCTCATTTCAATACACACAAAGCTTGCGCTTTCTTCTCATAACATGGAAAACATCCATCAAACTCTTCTAGGCAGTCACATATAAGGAAAATGTGTTTTCAGAGTGCCCCCTCGCGGTGACTTAGAGAAATGTATTTGTTAAGCAATCTTCCAGGCAATCTCTCTGTCTTTCCCTCTCTCCCTTGGTGTATCTATGTGCCTGAACCAGCCATCTTTTGTGATTGAGGTAGGATTTTACCAGTTTCTTCTGCTTCCGAAAGGGCTGGATCCAGGTTCTGTGAGGGCCTGGGAATATAGCGCTTGGGCCCTCTTCCTCATCCAATCTCTTCTTCTTCTCTTCATAGGCCTCCCACCACACTCCCTGCCCACACTCCCCACCGACTCCCCGGCCCCCTCACTCATTTATTTATTTGTTTTCTTCATTTATATCTTGCCTCTCTCCCAGAGCAGCCTAAGACATCGTTCTCCTCTCCTCCATTTTATCCTCACAACAACCCTGTGAGGTAGGTTAGCCTGAGAGTGTGTGACCAGTAAGCTTCCATGGCAAAGTAGGGATTTGAACCGGGCCTCCCAGATCCTAGTACGGCACTCTAACCACTACATGAAACTGGCATTGTCCCATGCTCCCAGCCACATATACCATACACGTGCACTCTTCCTGATGGTGCCAGTTTGGTGTAGTGGTGAAGTGCGGGCCTCCCAGATCCTAGTACGGCACTCTAACCACTACATGAAACTGGCATTGTCCCATGCTCCCAGCCACATATACCATACACGTGCACTCTTCCTGATGGTGCCAGTTTGGTGTAGTGGTGAAGTGCGCAGACTCTAATTTGGGAGAACCGGGTTTGATTCCCCACTCCTCCAGTTGCACCTGCTGGATGACCTTGGGCAAGCCATAGTTCTGGCACAGCTGTCCTTGAAAAAGAGCAGTTCCTGTCAGAGCTCTCTCAGCCCCACCTACCACACAGGGTGTCTGTTGTGGGGAGGGGAAAGGAAAGGAGTTTGTAAGCCACTCTGAGATTCCTCTGGGTAGTGAAGGGTGGGGTATAAATCCAATTTCTTCTTCTTCTTTTAGATGGCAGGAGGACATTTGAGTGGACGCCAGGTGGGCTCAGGTGAGGACAGTGGGAATGAGCCCTACTGGAATCCCTGGGCCCTGGCCCACCTCAGGGTATGCTGATGCCAGCCCTAGCTTCACACTCACCAAATGACTGCCCCTGGAAGATGAAGGTGTCTCCTTGCGGCAGAGAGCTTAGACTCTTCAGAGAACTGCAAGGAGGAGGTGAGGAATCCAGAGATGGACTCTGAATTGTTGGGCTCATGATACTGCCGTTGCCTCCCTGACAACTCAAGTTCCTGAGGGATTCCTCCAGCTTTGTAATTTCTTCATCCCTGAGACGGTTAGGCTGAAATACAAATAAATATAAAAACAATCTTTACTTCAAAAGGAGCTGCATCCTGTCAGGAGGTGCCAGTGGCAAATAAAACGCAAGTCGGTGATCAGACAGGCAAAAAGTGACTATGAGGAACATAACTGCAAAAAACATCACACCCAACAATGTAAATTTCTTCAAATACATTCAGAAAACCAGCCAGGGAGGCAGTAGGGCCCTTGGATGACCAAGGCGTAAAAGGTTTACTAAAGGATGACAGGGAAACGGCAGAGAAGCTGAATGCATTTTTTGCCTATGTCTTCACTGTGGAAGATGGGAGGTGCTTGCCCACTCCAGAACCACCGATTTCGGGAGGGGTGTTGAAAGACCTGAGTCAGATTGATGAGAGAGAAGGTCCTATGCCTGATGGAGAAATTAAAAACTGACAAATCACCAGGCCCGGATGGCATACATCCAAGAGTTCTGAAAGAACTCAAATGTGAACTTGTGGAACTCCTGACAAAAATATGCAATCTATAATTACAATCTACCTCCATTCCTGAGGACTGGAAGGTAGCTAATGTAACCTATATCTTTTTAAAAGTTTCCAGAGGAGATCCGGGAAATTACAGGCTGGCCAGTCTAATGTTGATACCGGCTAAGTTGGTGGAATCCATTATTAAAGATAGAATTAGTAGGCACATTGATGAACAAAAGCTATTGAGGAAGAATCAGCATGGATCCTGTAAGGGAAGATCTTGTCTCACTAATCTGTTAGAATTCTTTGAGGGGGTGAACAAACATGTGGACAAGGGGGACCCAATAGGTGTTGTTTACCTAGACTTC